TGAAAATTAAATATATATATTATAATATATACATTATCCACTATATAGATATGACGTAAGCTCCCTTCTATTTTTTATGATACTGTATGATTTTTTATGTAACTTTAATGTATTTTTCCATACAATTTTAATGTATTTATACTTCAATTTTGATATATTTTCATTCATTTTTTTCGGCACTTTTTTTCCTAGTGTAGGACTTTTTTTCCGATTACCAAAAATTACAATTCTCATATAATCAAAAAAAATGAACTTTCTTTCGTTTATAAAATATTATACTTATATTTATAAATATAATGTTGTATATTTGTACTTCAAACTATACTCAAAAACATGTTAAACAATAAAACTGTATAGTACAACAGCATCTGCGGAGATACGTCATGTGTAATACACTCGCGTGACTCATCAAAATTATGTAACAATTGACAGAACCAAAAAGTCTCATAATCCAAATACTATTATAAATAACACTTTTTAATAATGTTAATTAATAGAACTGGTACGTATAATAAATTATGTACCAATGTTTAAAAAAAAAAATTTAAAAAAATAAAATTGATAAAAACTACGGTGTAAAATTATAATATTTTTTTGAAATTTGTTTTATTAACTTCAATATATTTATTGTTACCATCCAACCCGCTTACTGCTCCAGTGAAACTATACTGTAGTTAGTGAAAATGTATTCATACAAAAACTTAAACTATTTAATTGCTAAATATTATATTGGTACTTACTTGTTTCCATTTCTTGCTGAAGTTCCGTTAAAAGACCGTTTGCCATTTTTTTCCACCAAACACAATTATAGTTAAATTTTGTCAACATTTTAATACTTCAGCTATTATATTATTATAGTTAAATAGTTTATAACATGTATTATATCATAGCAATATGATATGCTAAGCATGATCATGTTGGATCATTGAATCATTTGGAGTTGGTTCCTACCCATTCGTCTTAATGATAACATAACACTGTCTCAAATCACCATAATCCAGGAAACCGTAGGTAGGTACACAATTATTAAAAAACGTAATACTTAGTACCTACCTATATTTTTTTATCATTGATTTCATGGCATTATTATAAATAACGTCCTAAATCCTAATATCAGAATATTATCAATAAAGATCTATCATAATAGGTATTAGGTGTAAGACGTATCTAGGTAACGTGCATGGGTAAGTACCTATAATTATAATGTACGTTCGCTCGACACATAAATATTATGTTAACACCAAACACTGATTTCATTATATTATTATTATTATTAATACTCTTCAGTCTTCATTATCATTGTTTTAATGTTATTAACAATGTTTTTTTGACCTATGCACGTAAGTAGGTATGATCATATATAGACCATATTGTGTGGACGTATTTTACTATATTATATTATGTGTATTGTATATTATACGAATATAGGTACGGCATACCGGTAAGATGCGTCTTAAGTATGTTGTGTAGTATCCAATAACCGGTTATCATTTAAAATGACTTAAGGCTTCAACAAAAAGTAAGAGTGGCCGCAGTGGGTCAAGAAAAAACATTTGGTATAGGTATCTATAACATTACGAGATTTCATGTTTAAACCTGTTTTGATGGTGTGCTGCTGCTGCTGCTGCTGCGGTGCCACGTAATAATATTATATGTTTCTGAGCTCGGAATGCCGAATGTTCACGATACGGTTATGAAATGGAAAACACAACATTTTATAATATTATAACATGTTCATCAATTCTCAATAACGGTTCCATTTTATTCGGTTTGATCTTTATACACAATAATATAAACCACCGAATGGCCTTTCGGAGTAAGTACATTCAACGGCAATAAATAATATCATGGTGTCGTGTGTATATTATTATCCCACGGCTTAGAGGTTGGCAAATTATGTAATAATTCATGCAATTATAATCACGTGTTGACATTTTAATCGACAAAATGTTTACATGTTTCAAACAAAGGCCAACCGTTCATAGCACGTGTGTCGTGTACCTACTTATAGTAAGTACCTCTACCTACTGTTGTTTCAGACGACTGTTCTTAAATTGTATTTCACTTTTGTTTCGTTTTTAGAACGTTTAAAATGTGAATATTCTAAAACTTATTTCTTTTCACAATTGCCACGATTTAAATACTGTTATACTATTCATTGGATGCTGTAAGTGCCTATACGCGTTACAGCCATAGTGCAACTAGAGGGGGAGCTAACTTGTAATAGCCCCCTCAAAATAAATTATTCAATTCTTTCCTAAAATATTAACCAATATATAGGTATACTTTTCATTAAAAAATTAATATATAATAAATAATATTCAAAAATTAACAATAATATTGTTTTGTTTTATGTCACTAAATTAAAAAACATACTATGTTTCTTTTTCTTTTAAAAGATTAGTGATTATAGGTACCTACATTCATTGATTATTTGTTTAATAATTATTTATTTTATTTGATGTATCGATCATTCGAAATATTTTGATTTTATAATCTTTTAAATATTGTATCTAACTATAATTCTAATAATAATTATTATTATTTACATATCGTTAAAATATTATTAGGAAACGTAATATTTTATTTCGGGGATATATTATATTCTGAGCGGAGCGAGGAAACAGTGGTTTTACAATGGTGTTTATTTTATTTATTTATTTTTTTATAGGTATATCCTGTATACAAAATTTCTACCAGAAGGAGTGATTTGATTTTAACATATAGTACCTTATCTATTAGCAAATTGGATCAATATGGTACTTTAAAGAGGTAATTTTTCGATTTTATCAATAATTATTTAATGCCACGGTAAAAACCACCGAAAAATTATGAAAAACCGCTAAAAATTGGATTTTAATTTCTAACTCTTTGTTTATTACCATAGAAACGAATAAAAAATAATAACATTATAATATTAATTCAACTTACATGATATAATAATTAATGACAATATAAAATATCAACTATCCAGACTGACAAACCGTCTCCGCTCAGAATCGTTTTTCTTATACAATGATAGAATATTATTGAATTCAAATTCTAATACAATCCATTATACAATGACTCACTTGTAACCTACTGTACAGCAGAGCGACGTCCACTTATCCGCTTTTTATAATATATATTATAAATGTATTAAACAACAAATATTATTATTAATGTTTGAAAATTAGAATATAAATATTAAAAAATAAGGTACTTATAATTAAATACTTGAGTAAATAAATAATTGATTTTGTTTGTATGAATTTTTTTATATTTTTAAGTGAACATATAAGGGCGTCACCCCTCGGGTTACTTTTCATGTAATGTCAGGTGGCAGCCCCCCCCCCCCAACATTGCAGCCCTAGTTGCGCCACTGGTTACAATCATAATTTCAACAGCGCCTGTTACATTAATGGTCCTTGAAAAATAAAATCAAAAGGAAATCTGTACCTAATTTTAAATAATATCCACTGAACCACAGCCATAGAACCATTAATTTCCTTTGTCGTTTTACCAAAAAAGCGGTCAATCATTCATCCGTGATAACATTTCATTAATACAACGTATTTTATATTATATAACAATATGGGAGCTTCTATGAATGCTCGTCTGGGCATTATTTCAATAATTCGGAATGTATACAGCTAGAATCACGACCAAAAACCAATATAGTTATTATGTTAAAATAATATACCTTAGGTAACCTTGAAAATAAAAATAATATTATTATTCTGATGATAACAGATCCATCGGAGTTGACGATCTAAACGTGTGAAAATAGGTACAATAATATATGCTACTGTGGTAATAATACTGTAATACACGGGCTCTTGACGTAAATGATTTTTGTTATTAAACATTGTTTAGCATTTAAAGGATGAACAATTCTTAATTTTGAGTGAAAAAACACAAGTTATAATATACTATAATAATAGTTTACACTTATTAAATTCACTCGTTGCTAACAAACAATAAACAACAAGTGTCTACGCTTCAGTGAAACAGTTGTGAGCACGTACCTACGGTCCACTCTTTTTTACACAAAGTCCAAAAAAAAATAGTAATACAGAAATAAAAAATTAAATGTTATATACAATATTACAATATTCAAAACGATCAAGATCGGTTATTTGCCTATGCCTACTCTAAATTAATAATTTGTACAAGGGTAAAAGACATCAGTACTCGTGTTTTCACACTATAAAAAGTTTACGTGATATAAAATTAAAATAATTATTATTGAAATCGAGTTATTTTTTAACATACTAAACTTTAAAAAACGTATTTATCTTATCGTTACAAAAGTATTGTGTATAAAACGAAATTAAGGAAATAACTAATGACTAGAATTGCATCGATCATAATATTATTAGAGTTGCAACAATTATTATTTACATAAATCAGCTCCCGAGTACCTATGTCGTTCCCAAAACAATAACAAATTGTAGCAGGGCTAAGCAATATTTAGATCAAAAACAGGGGCGTGTGCGATTGGTTAAAACGAATTACACGAAACGCGACGTCGCCCGTCAAATACATAAATAATAAATAATGAAAATAAATTATATAAATTTAAAAAAAACGAAATTCTACTTATGCAGTTACGAGTATAAATGCAACAATAAAATGGCCTAAGAAAATAATGTTCCCATAACGACGTAAAGTGACGTTAAAATTCAGTCAAAAAACGTAATAATTAATGTGTGGTATAATATAATATTATTATTAAAGTCCCGTCATCGGGGTTTGAAGACGACCGGGGAACCATGAGACCTATGGCTCCGACGCGGAAAAGCGACCAAAATCGAAAAAGCTGTGTAAACCTACCGGAATCCGATCGGTAACGTCTCACGAGGCGGGTTGCCGTCCACGGGACCTGGGGCCATCCTCGGGACGGTCTCAAAACGGCAGGCCTCGGCGAGCTCACTGCCACGAGTTAAATCGACGACGGGGACTCGAACGGTCGTGGTGGGGCGGGAATTAGGGGGGTTGTTGGGGAGACTTGATCTCGATCAGTTTCCGTTGCGCAGGTTGGCGCTGGACACAAGGTTCGCTTGAATCCAGTGGTGGATCTCCAACGGGCACTCGGGCTTTATCCTGGGCGCTTCTTGCAGGTCGCCGGGCCTCTCCTTGGCGCCTTTGGCCAGCAACTCACCCATCAACACCTCGACGTCGCAGTTGATCACCCTCTGCCGGCAGTGCACGATGGCGTTGACGAAGTCGTCGCCCCGGCTCACGAACCGGTGCTCCATGTAAATGGAGTCTCGGTCCCAGTAAATGATCCGGGACGATATGCTGTACAGGCTGAACGTCCGGATGAACTTCCGGTACCGGATGCTGGTACCACCCTGCACGGGCAGCCCACCCTTCTCCCGGATCGCCGTCCACAGCCCGGTGCGCGTGTAGAACTCTGTCCGGGCGAAGTCCACCTCCCGCAGGTACCTCGAGTTGTTCATGTGGAACAGCAGGAAGTCCACGTCCGTGGTCAGGCACGCCGAAGAGTACGATGTGGTGTCCAATATGTGCACGTACTTCTTCAGGATCCGGCACATGGTCGCACACCACAGCGTCCGGGCAAAATAGTGCACCTCGAACACCCAGTACAAGACCACGATTATCAGCAGCGCGGTCACCGAGAGAGTGTACGTATCGCACGACAACAGGAAGTTAATCATTTTTACTCGGTTTTCTAGCACTAAAACGTTTAATATGATATGACTATGATTATCGTATTTATAATAATAATAATATCAAAATAAAACTATTTGAGATACCAAGAGCAGCGCTGAACCATTTAATCTTTTTTCTATGCTCGGAACTCTGGGCCCCTGCAGCAGTCGGGTCACGCACAACGCACAGTGCCGCGGGCCATCGCGACCAATCGTGACCTTCTCGATAGACCCTTAGGACCAAACGCAATGGTGTGGTTGTCGGCCGGATATTAAAAAATAAATAAAAACAAGCGTACGAATAAAAACGCACTTTAAAAAAATGTGAATTGATTTAATTTTATAATAATAGTAATAATAATAATACAATAATATTATTATTTTCTCAACGAACACCGTATTAATCACACCACTCGCGTGTCAACTGCAGCTGCGTATGACCATCGCACGGGAAATAGGTAAGTGCACAACAATAACATTGTGATATCGACGAAATAAAAGCCGATATTTCGTACCTATATTATAATATTATAGGTAAGTATTAACGCGGAACAACGAATTCGTATAATATTCAGTCGCGTTGTAATATTATATTCTGTGTCTCGCGAGCGCTGTTCGGCTGTTTCGGTCACCGTGAAAGATAAGACTGCGCGTGTGTGTCGATCGCAATACGACTCGTAAACATAAACAAGAATAAGATATACGCGAACACGAGTCGTCGGACGGCGGTGGTATAGCTAATTCGTCGACGAGGGACTTGCCGCTCGTGCAACCCCTACCATCATCATCATGTTATTATTATTATTATTGCTATTCGTATTATAATAATATTATTATACATTGCGATGAGACGTAGTTGGACACGCCTATAATGTTATTATTATTATTGCATACTTTTTGATGACTGTACCGACTACGGTGAACACCGACGCCGATGTCGCTGCCGTAAGCAAAAAACAAAACATGTCTGACAGTACGTTTTTGTTATTTATTATTACTTGATTTTTTATCATTATATAATAATAATAATATATTTCGATTGCGTGCAGCCGTCGCATGTCGCCGACAACACGCTGTCAGTATAATACGTAGGTACAGTCAGAACAAACCTTTCAAACCTACCAGTTTATAAGGTCAACGAGTGATGAGATTGCCGGCGAAGTAAGTGTTGGTCGGTGACCGTTTACACTGTCGGCTCTTGAAATCTCTCGCATAGACGCATTCACACCCATTGGTTCGATACCATCTTCCGGATGAAATGATAACGTAATAATATTCAAGTAACAAATTCTTTGGGGACTCAAAAGTAAAAAGTAAATAATTCCCAGAACTTCTTTTAAACAATTGAGAAAAAAAAATAAGGAAAACCGGGAATTTTTAAGCAAAACCGATGCAATTTCCGACAAACTTAATTTTGTTTCTTTGTTGTGATTTAAAAATGAATAACTGTGGGGACTTGCATTTTTCACAAAATAAATATTTCAATTAGCATTCTTTTGATTTGATATAAATTTCAAAATGCGTTTAGGATATTTCTGTGATATAGGACATAGGTAGACATTTGAAATGTTAGACATGTTTTGGTTTTTTTTTCAACTTATGTATGATTAAATTTTTGTTTGTGTGTAGAATAGTTTGAAAATGTAATACAACATTCCTCAAAAATTATTTTTACAGCAGTTGAAAAATATCTAAAATATTTAATCTAATAGCATCTATCATTTTATAGGCATTTAAAGATTTCGAATTGTATTGTTTTTTTTCTATAAAATAATATGCTAATAACAATTTTAAGTTTAAAAAGCTTGGAAATTTAAAATACGAGTTCTTGTAAGATTTCATTTTAGCAATTTAAAAATATACAATATAATCACCCTTTTTTATAAGAGTTTTAAGATTACATTTGGACAACATTAAAACTAAACTAAAATTTGCAAATTATTTTACAATTAAAAATATATACAATTTTCAATTTTATAGCTAAAAAGTTTGGATATGTGTACAAGTTGTTGATAACTTGTTCTTGTAGCAATCTAAAAACTTAAAAATTCATAATAAATTCAAGATTTTATTATGGTAATGGTTTTTATTTTTCAACTTAATATAAATTATATTTAAAATATTATAATATTAAATCGACATTCAAAATGCAGTTTACTATAAATATAAATTAAATTAATATACATTTGACCGGACTGGACCATTTTTTTTAAGGACTAAACCGGACCAGACCATTTTTTTTTTTAGACAAAGAGACCGAACCGGACCGAACTACATTAAATTACAATACACAAAGACCGAAAAATACCGGACCATGGTCCGGTCCGAATCGGTCTAGACCAGACCGTGCAGATCTCGACCACATAGCGAGTTTTCACCTTGGTAACATACATATTAGCATAAATGTTAGGTTTATCCAATAATTTATTTCAGACTCCAAAGGGTAAAATTGAAAAATACTGTAATTTATTTTAAAGTTGGCAAAGTCACATAGAACACCATATGGTATTATGGTAATCATGATCACGTAACAATATAATATCAAGCTCATATCGCTCAGAAAAAATCATCACCTATGGGCTATAATACAGCATTTCGAATATCTGTTCCAGAGTTCAATTAGTTAGCCATACCTATAAGTAATAATATTATGTTTGAAGGTCAATTCAACGTCAAGACAATTAATTACAATCAGTTATCATTATATTATATTGAAAACAGCCTGCTGCATATTATACTCTTCCTGTTGATTTAGAACAAAGTTTCTTCGTCGATCTCATTGATAATGAAAAACCCGTTTGTTTAGGATTGGTATTTTTTCGAACGTTGACGCGTAAATACATTTAAAAATAATTTCCATCGTGAAAAAAAATCGAACGAATGTTCCTGACTCCCATTGTTGTATTGTTAAAATCAAAATATCAACTGGGAAAGTTTAAACCATGTGAGAAATATTGTTGGATCTACTAAGTTCACAGACAATATTTGTAACATTTTCAACACTTGCACGTGCCATGTTATATGCATGGTTGGCATGTTTATGTTGTTTTTTGCCACAATTTGACCTGATTACGAATCGTGTTTTTATATGTCATCATGTTATATTAATATCAATACCTAAATAATATTGTAATATAGAAAAAAATTTATATTTGATTACCATATTATGAAGTCTACCTACTATTTTCAAATAATTATATAATATCTGCAGAGAATATTGTGTTCCTGCATATTAATATGACGGGTTTTAAAAATATCTTCATGTCAAAAATGATCTACCTACCGGCTTCTTGAAAAATAATATCGATAATGCCCAAGATATTATTGATTCTCAAATCTGAAAGTTTACTTTTCAGCTGACAGGCGACAGCTGTCTATATTCACCATTATTATACATACCTATAATACCATTATTGTGGCTATGGCCTGTGTGTAGGAAACTCATATTTTTTAACGTGGTATTCTAGTTGGTTGTGTTTTTATAAATTTTATCATTTGCGCCGCAAATGAGAACCAATTATTTTAACATATAATTTTTATATTACTTTCATTTAACTTCAATATACTATACTTTTTTATAAATGATTTTCTGATTCTCAAAACGTTATTACTATTAGACATTTGGGAGATCCGACTAATTTTATAGGTAGTTGATATAATATATGTATCTTAAATTTGTATTCCTTTTAAAATATTCCAAATTAATGTATTTAAGGAAAGTATTAATTAACAATCAAAAAATAATAAAAACTATTTTGTTCAGTCCTTATAAAACGGTATCAACGGCGATGATAGGTAATGGGCGATGGTATATTTATCAATAAAAAAAAATAATATTTTATATTTATTATGTAATATAAAATTTATATCCGCCAGAATACATGACAATATAGAAATTTTTTCTTACTAATACAGCAGAATAAATTGTTCATATTATAAATTCATTATTATCCTAAAAATCGATTTTTTACTGGCCGCGGAGATAACACTATTATATAATGTACAATGCCTAAAAGTCAAGGTGGCCGAGTGAACACGGAAATACCATGTAATTTAATGACATAAACAGTATATTATATTATATTATAGTTTGAGTATTTGCATAAAAATTCAATTCCTAAATATTATTGAAAATAGTAGATATAATATAGGTACTGAGAATTGAATTCCATTTTAATATTTACTTCTAGGAATACGTAGTACATCTAATATAAATTAGATTATTAATCGTATTGCTTCCATGGTTGAATAGAAAGATTAAAATAAATGAGTTTTTGTTCTTGGTTTTAGGAAATATTTTTAGTATCTACATTATTTATAACCATTTTTTTTTCAATTCAAGTTTTAATAACCATAATTAATGAATAGCTACCAACTAAATTATAGAATACATAATGAGTCTACGCATATGATTGAACACATTGTATATTATTATGTTGCACATGCATGATACACTTGCACATTGACATGTTAAAAATAGATAACGGACAAGTAGGTAACCAATACCTAACCATGTAAACATATATTAAAATAGGTGTGTTTAGCATGCAATATGTAGCAGTGTATAATTTTTTTAATAGTTCAAAATTAAAAAATTGAACTATTGCTTCCTTATTTTTTTTTTTTTTTTTTTTTTTTTTAATTAGATAAAATAGAATATTTACAATCTGTAATTTTATATATACAATGAGTAAATTTGGTAATGAAAGAAACAACAACAACATGAATGGCTTGAGGAGGGAGGCCCACCAGTGTGGATACCCTCTAGCTTGGGGGAACTTCCTTATTTTACGGGATACGTTACACGATTGCGCACTTTTTATAATTTTATCTGTATAAAACGCAACACGATTGTGCCCAAAAAATATAGGTGTTGTCCTTTTTACCTGCCGAAAATATAACACCATTGTGTACTAAAAAATCCCCGTGTTCAAAGATAACACGTTGTTTTACATATACCTAATATAATATATATTATAGAAGTATATAGAAGTATTTTAAATTAC